ATAGATAGATAGATATAGATATAGATAGATAGATATAGTATAGATTTCCTGTGTAAATTATGTCCCAGGTATATTCCAAGTCTGACCGGTACTCGAGTCAGTACAATAAATGTTTGATTTATATTTCTATATTTTTTCTTGATAATATTCGTATTTATTTCTTTAGAAGAAGCCCGCGTCTTCATCGCCCCAGCTCTTAAAACAGCAACTCAAGTGCACAACCGGTTTGAAGTCTGCAGCCGGGGTTCATCTACAAAACCAACATGCACAGCGGCATTACAGAACCTCTGAAGCCAGTTCTAACCACACAGAACAGCACAGAGGCGCAACAAACCGCACAGAAGCGGTTCAAGTGTCATTACGAGCAGTGTAACTACTCCAGCAACTGGATCAAGTGCTATAAAAGTCATCTGGCCACTAAACACGACGTAAGAGAAAACCTATTCTACTGCCACAAGTGTGACTTCAAAGCTGCTCGGAAAGACCACCTGACGAAACATGTGCTTACACACTCTGACTCCGAGAACCGCCCGAGGCCGCACAAGTGTCCCCACTGTGACTATGCCGCGATGGACAAAGGATCCCTAACCACGCACATCGCTAGACACACCGACAACAGACCGCACGTATGTGAAGAGTGCGGCTACAGAGCAGTTACAAAATCTATCCTACATAAACACCTACAGATCCACACGGGTGAGAAACCGTATGCATGTCCTGAGTGCGAGTTCAGGGCTAGAAAGAAGTCTAAGTTGCACTCTCACATGCGGACACACACCGGGGAGAAACCTTATGTCTGTGAAGAGTGTGGGCACAAATCAGCCCACAGGAAAGCTTTACAAATGCACATCATGACCCATACCGGTGAGAAGCCGTTCAAATGTTCCCACTGTGACTACAGTTGTAGGAACGTGCAACAATTAAAGAGGCACGAGGCCGTACACACAGGCGACAAACGGTACCTGTGTGACCAGTGCAGCTACAGGACATCCAACCTGTCCAACATGGCCAAACACAAGATGACTCACAGCGGAGAAAAACCGTACTGGTGTGACCAGTGTGGATACAGGTCCAACAGATCCTTCAACCTGAAAACACACATGAAAACACACCTGAAAACAAACGCCAAGGACAAAAGCTAAGGTTTTCAGCATGTACGCGATTTTTTCTGTAACAAGTTCACAATTAAGCGGATACGTACAGCACATAAATGTTAGAAGCTTGTGTATGATTGAATTTCCTACTACTAGTATGTGTACGTGTAAGTCTTAATAGACACTTATCGTAAGAATTCTGTAACTGGAACCAGAATTTTGGACCTGGAGCCAGAATTCTGCAGAACTGGGTCAATCCACCAGGGGTCTTCGATGGATGCTACTTAGGCCATGTTGATTTGATTATATGGATGACATCCGCGCGCGCATGAATTTTCAGCCGTTTCCAAAAAAAAAAGTTTTCAACCATACTGTAAATCGTGCAAAAAAGGTGCTAAATGAGCAAAAATATACCATAAGTTGCAAGGAAAACATTTAGAAACGATACCAATGCCGTAGAATGCCAAAATCAAAGGAAAAAAGACAAAAATGTAAATAAATGAATTCGAAGAGTAGATTATTCGCCATAACATATTCTGAGCCATTTGTTCAACCTTCATGACCAAGTAGATTTCATAATGAAAGCAACTTTTTTTTTTTGCAAAACTTTTTTTTATTCGCACGCTCGCATCAGTTTTCGGGTTCCCAGAGGATGTCATCCATATAATCAAATCAACATGACCTAATTGACGTCAACAATAAGTGCTGTACCAAGACTATCTAGATTATTGCATTAACTGATGAATATACAATTCAAGATTGACAATGATGCCTCTTGAAGGATAATCTACACACATACAGAGAATACAGGGAATTTACAATACTGAAAGGACCAAAATGTTGTTATCCATATCTTGCCTTCATCTTGAAAACATACTCCCTTCCGACCCACTCAACGCAAACGACGCCACATTATGTACTTTACTTCTTACAGGCAGCCCCTCCCTCCCATACCCTACTAACTGCCGTATCTTTGATATTGTGTTCAACTATATTCATCACTCTGGAAGATTTGACCAATCTCATTAACGCTATAGGTTTCGGTGCGCCAGCCACTTTCATTTTATGTTTATGTTATATTTTAT